CACATGACTGGGCTCCTCTGAGTGCCGTGTGTATATGCAGAGAGAGAAACCTCCTTTGTTTTCTGCCAGTCACCACAATCCTAAAGGTGTCAGTACTCTGAGGAAGAGGGGAGCTGAACATAACAGGGGTAGCCTGTTCTTAAGGCCAGTTGGCTGTAATTAATCCTTTCTCCTCTCACCTGCACTGCACTGTTGATGCCCAGAGTGGCTCTCTCTCGAGCTGCTCCTCCCACCCCTCCGTCTGTCTCTGCTTACACAGTGCAGGTAAAGGGCTTGTAACCTCTCTTCAAAGTCACCACAGGGATTTGGAGGTTCTGAGGTAGCACAGGGCTTGGCAAAGATAGGCCAGGTGCTTAAGGGGCCATCCTGCAACAGTCAAGGGAGATGATATTCCTGACGGAGACTTGCCTGCATGCACCAGGACCCAGCCTGCAGCATGGGGCCTCACAGGGTGAGCTGCCCAGAGAACATGTACTGGGAGCACGGGACAACCACAAAGGTGCTGAAATCTCTAGAGCCAGTCAACACCCTGAACCACATCTTTCTGCTAAGGGCTAGCCCAGCTTTCTGCAAGACAGGTGGATGGAAGAGCAGCAACCAGCCACCCTGCCCGGACACCTCTGATTCCTCTTCAGGGGTCTGCAGCTCAATCTCTCCCCTTCAAAAATCACAGTCCACCCAAGTCAAGATCTCCAATGCTTCAAAGAGCTTGAATGACACATAGATGTACGGGAGGAGACCAAATGCCTTGTGAAATACAGGTGCTGGCAGAGTCTATCACTTGTAGAAAGATGGAACCAAGCAGCCAAAGGATAAGAAGAGGAAAACTGGTCCCATCTGCTGCAGGGAGGTTCTACCAGGGGCACACTGGACTCAGGCTTCCCAGTACAGGCATGCCCTTCCCTACCTTGACATACCTTTATCTTTTATTGCTTTTCAGGTACACAAAATTACTGTAAATACTCCTTCAGTAGGCAGAGGGCACTACTTCCATCCCTTCCAAATATTACAGGCAGGCTTTTCACCTATAATATGCAGGTGCAGATGGGGAGGAGGGAAAGCAAGGGGCTATGGCCATGGATGACAGAGATCTGCGTCCACAGCCATTGCACAGACTGCCCATGTCTGCATCCAGCTGGACAAGAATGACAGAAAACCTGGCAGGAAGAGCTGATTGTACTGGGGATGCAGCTCAGGATGTCAGGAGCCAGGACAGCTCTGTCCCACAGCCTGCGGCTCTGGCAGTCACTGAGCCTTCACAGCAGCTGCAGGCTGAGACATTCCCAGCAGCAGAAGTGGTATGAGGGCACTCTAGCTTGTATCTGCCCAGGTCTGAGTATTTTGAATGAATATCAAGGTAGGAATTGGCTATTGAACTTTTTACAAGGCGGGGAAGGGAGAGACTTGTATGCTTTATCTCATCCTAACAGAATTTATCCTTTCTGCTTAGCAGATACCAGATGAACTGTACTCAGACACATACCGCTATTTCTCTCCACTGCCTCGGCAGGAGAACAGCAGGAGATCAACATGAGCTGATGCGGAGAGCTGACTACCTGTGGCCAAAGGGACGTCTTGTCCTGCCTCTTCTACTTCTGTTGCACAAAGGGCATCTTTGTTTCACGTCTCCCTATGAAAACAGCTCATCTCCTCAAAGCCTAAGGAGGTCTTTGGGTGAATTGAAAGGCTGCTGAGCTACTGAGGTGACCTCTCAGAAATAAACCCCTAAATCTGTGTGAAGTTATGATTTTATACCCTGTAAATCAGGCCTGGGATGGTGAGTGCCATCTTTTCATCCATACAGGATGACAGAAGAGCTTATAGATCTGTAATGCTGCAAGTAATATTTGTTCAGAAAGCTGCCCTGAGGTGAGCAAGCCAGACATATGAAGCAAGAAGTCTTTGAGAAGAGGGATGAAAGGACAGGAGTCGAGGGCTGTTGACTGGGCTACCAACTCCATATGTCAGTAAGAGGGGACAAGAGATTGCAACCTGCAAAACCCACCTAGACTAACAGCCCAGGTCCCCTCAAAGGGGTGTGAACCATCATGGAAACCCAGGTGTCCTCAGTCCCAGTATCCCCGCAGCGAGGGTAGGGAATGCTGCTGTGGGAGATGTTCAGTGAGCCGGAGGTGCTGGCAGAGCAGCGCAGCAGCTTGCACTCACAAGCCAGGTGAGTCTTAGGTAATGTATTATGGTGACTGCCATTAGCCAGTTAAGGATTAAACCACCACTAGCACTATCTTGAAGGTCATTTTCATCAGAAGCTACTCACTGGAAAAGAAAGGAGAAAGAAGTCTTACAATCAAAGCAAACAAAGCTCCTAACCAGCACTAGGCCGAGAAAGAAAGAAACCAGCACTTTCTGTAGGAGCAGAAAGGGGAACACAGCTTGAGATCCACATTTGGGGTGCTGCAGGGTAATGCAGAAGCTTTGGGGCATGCCCTTGCTAAGCAGAGGGTATTGTTGCTGGGCCCCCTGTGGTGGTCAGGGGGCAGTAACTAAGCACTCCACATGCCTGCAGGGAACGGGTTTTCCAGCCAACCCTCCCAATAGCTGCCTGAAGTCCAGCCCTGAAGCTCAAATTAACCAGCAACAAAGCACCCATTAACCAGCAACCCACCTCCATCTTTCCCTGCAGCCCTGCCTCTAACTCCAGCCACAACCTTCCAGGGAGGTCACAAAAGGTCTCAGAGGAGGTTATCAGGACTTCACATCAGCTCCGTACCTTCAGCTACTGACAGCAGCTCAGGTAAGTAGCAGGAGGTAAATGCTTATTTCTACAGCTCACAATTACAAGCTGCTTTCTTACCCTTGGCATGGGAGAAAAAAACCCTACACCCTTCCCAAAACAGTGGGCAAGTGGGGTGGGGTTTTTATTTTCGTTTGTGTTTTGGTTTTGTTTTCCAAAAGGAAAAAATATATATAAAAAAATAATCAAAAGAACATTTTAATAAAATATAACATCCCCATATATCTTTTTCAGAAGGTCTTTTGAAACTGTAAAGTCATCTTCAGGTATTAAATAATAAGAAGAAGACTCTCTTGTCTAGAAGAAACCAAACCATCTGTGGTTACAACTAAGGGTGGATCAAGGCCAAGTCAGGATAAGTATCTGTCAATACACTGGGAAGAAGCAGAGTGAAAACAGTAAGAAACCTGGAGAGGGGCTTTGGACAAGGGCCTGTAGGGACAGGACAAGGGGAATGGCTTTAACCTGCCAGAGGGGAGACTGAGATGAGCTCTTAGGCAGAAGCTCTTCCCTGTGAGGGTGCTGAGGCGCTGGCACAGGGTGCCCAGAGAAGCTGTGGCTGCCCCATCCCTGGCAGTGTTCAAGGCCAGGTTGGACACAGGGGCTTGGAGCAAGCTGCTCTAGTGGAAGGGGTCCCTGCCCGTGGCAGGGGTTGGAGCTGGATGAGATTTAAGGTCCCTTCACACCCAAACCAGTCTGGGATTCCATGTATCCAGATATAATGATTAAAAAGTGAATTAACACATGGAAAATGCATCAAAAAATCCCTCCAGGTAATGTGGAAAAGGCCTGGCTGGGTCCATCAAAGACAGATACCCAGCCATGAGGGGGCACTGGTGAACGCCGCAAGGAGAGTCTGGGGGGAGCATCTCCGTGGCGTGTGCTCTCACCTGTCAGGATCTGCAGCTCAGGGCCCCGGTTAAGTCAGAAACAATTCAATGCTGTTTTATGAGCCCTTGGTAGACCAAGGCTGCTCCAAACTCTGTCCGACCTGGCCTTGAACATTGCCAGGGATGGGGCAGCCACAGCTCCTCTGGGCACCCTGTGCCAGTGCCTCACCACCTGCACCACTCTCATCTCAATGCTATACCAAGAAGTTGTTGGGTTTTTACAATTCCCAGCTGACACCAGAGTAACTCCAACTTGAACTGTATGACACTTTATCAGGTTACAAGGGCATACTTTCACCTCTCTCCCTTAGAGCAAGCTCCTCAACCTGAAGTTGCAAGAAGCTCTTCCAACAGACAGCACATAAGATCTTGAAGTAAAACGAGGCAGTATGAAGATAGGAACCACATCAGAAGTGCTGCAGCATAACTACTAGAGCTGACAGTTCAATTAAAGCAGAGAGCACATTTCCTTTTCTATTCCAGCTGTTAACAGAACCCATGGGGGACAATCCCATGGGAGATGTCACTATTTCCTGAGGCAGTCTGCCAGCTTCTTTATTTATTTATTTTTAACATGTTTAACCTAAATTTTCATGTGCTCAATTTGAATTCCCAGCCCTTGGACTGGTCCTGCTGTTCTCCTCTGTGCTCCTTCCAACATAAGGATTTGCTTCTGGCAGGGGTGGCACGACGCTGATGACAAAACCATGTCACTGCAGTGTTGCTCCAGCTCCCTGCCACCCACGGCCCAACATGCAGATCACCCTGTTGCCTTCAAACTCCCTGACAACACTCCAGCACAGCTGCCAACATCGCTGCTCTCAGCTTTCTTCCTCTCATCAGATCACAAACATCTGGGGGTATTTCTTGCTGGAGGCATCAGAGGCATTCACCCGAGTTTATCAGCAATCTGGCTGTGTATCAGTCTTTCCAGATTCTTTATACCATGTTCTTCTGTGACTAACTATTGTGATATTTCTGCTACCCTGGCAGCAGCAGAGCACATGATCATCACAGTGTTAAATCTTCACTGAGAGGTGACAGAGGAACAGAATGAGAAACCCAGCACTGAGTTTTAAAGTCAAAATAAATCAGTAAGCCACAAGAACTGGATGACTATATCAGTAGTCCAAGGAGGCAGAAGGGGATATTCTAATAAAAAGTTTAGGGGTAAACTTATGCTGTCAACAGCATCTAGGTGATAGTAATAAAAACTCTATTATTATATATAATGCTCAGTACTGTAGCACTCTTCTTTCCCATTCTTGTATTTAGCCTCATACATTTAGCAGCAGAACAAAATTTGGACAAAGAAAGCAGAAAACCACCCACAGAGGCAGACTAGAACATATACTCACCATCCTCAGACACAGTCTAAAATCTCCCGGTTCAATCACAGCTCAGCCTTTTCTTGTTCTTTCACTAGTCTCACCTGCAGCAAAGAAGAAACAGCCCAGAGCAGAAGTTTAGATCAACAGTCATGATAGTTAGGTATGAACATAGAGGGAAAAAGTCTCCAAAAATCAAGAGCCCAAGAAGCCAGTACCCTGTTCCTCTCCCTGCTAACCTCCATTCAGTGTCTCTTTCAGGAGCTGCTGGAAGTCAGCTCAGTGTCCCAGGGAAGACACCAAGTCCATTTGGTCAGCCGCAACTTAAGGCATGCAGGATCCACCAGCACAGAGCAGCCAGTACCCCTGAGGTACAAACAACACACCTCGAGGGAGCATAAGAGGGAGCTGAAGGAAGAGAGACCTTGGCATTATGGTTCAAGGACCTGGGGAGGATCCTTCACATGAAACTAGAGTGCTGGGAGAAGACTGCTGTGGTCTTAGGAGGAGCTCACCTCTAAAATCACATCTTGTCCTACCAAGGAGGTAGGGCAGGACACAAGAGCTGCAGCCCCTGCTGCAGCTTCTGCCCCGCTAGCAGGGGCACTGGTCACAGGAGGTGTTTCACAGGACAGTAAAAGCCAAGCAGCAAGACTTGTGCAAGGTCCTGCTCTGAGAAGGTCCTTTCAAATAGCACTGGGTGGTCCCACAGCTGCCCTGGGATTTCCATGGAGGAAGAGACCATTCCTCAAGGTTTTCAGATCTCTCCAGTATGTGATCACTTGATCACCAACATCTCTCTCACCTGTCCACGTTCTGCCCTCTGCTCTGCCCTTCCAGCCCCACACCAGGGACTGAGTTACCATTAAGCATCACCTTGGGGAATGGGCTGGCAGCCCCAGCGCTACTCACCCGGCTGCACACACAGCCCCTTCACTGTGCACACAAGCAGCATGTGTGTCACAGTATATAACAGCACTAACAGTGTTTTCGGTGGGGATGCTCAGGATTTCAATGTAGCCTGAAGTTGGCTTAGAGCTCCTCAACTGAACCTGCTTCCTGCCGGTGGCCAGCACACGCCAAAGCTCCAGGAGTGCTCAAGGTCTTTGGGAAGTTTTGTCACCATTTATTTTTAACCTTGTTCCTCCACAGATGAAGTACAAATGTCACAAACGTGGAACTGGAGACTCTCACGCAACATACCCCAGATGAGAATCACTCCTCCTGCTGCCACTGAGGAACAGGGCTGCCTATAGAAGAGTTTCTGAATTCCTCCTCAAGGCTTTTTCTTCCACTCAGGAGTTTCTCTCCCAGCCCCAAATTAAGCGAGGTTGGACAACACACGACAGCAGCCAGGCTGAATGCCAGCACCGAGGAGTCATTTCTGAAATGTAATCCTCATGGTAAGCAAGCAGCAGGCAAGTCCCTCAGCACCCATCCTGCTCCAGCAGCACCTGGGTAGCAATAGTTAGTTACTCTTGTGCTTTCAGGTCATGTCTCATGTCCTGCCATGCAGTCAGTGAGAAAGTACTGGAGAAAAGAATGGGAGTTCAGAAAGATTCATCACTTGTGCACTGTATCACCTTACGTTTAAAAGCAGACCACCAAGTTCCAGGAAAACATGAAAAAAACCCACAATGGGAATTAACTTTTTTCCTAGGAAAACAGAAAAAGACAAATACTGCAATATCTCCCTTCAAACCCAGATGCAGCCTCTTTTCCACTATAAAAACCTTTTCCCCACTATTTAGCACAATGACCACGTATCAGGCTTCACAGGGAGGAAATAACCTCGCAGGAGATTAAGATGCCACCAGCAAGAGTCGCTGCCAACTAACTTTCACAAATGAGCTGAAAAGCACAATTAGCAGGGGAAGTAAAACGTTCAGCAAGCTTTGCTCACTGCTCTGGAGCCATCTGAATTATTGATAACCCTAGATGCCACACGAGTATTTTTCCGGCAGTACACTTTGTACTAATTCATTAAACCATTGCTAATGGCTACTTCAGTTTCTCCCTTCCTTCCTCGTAGAAGTCAGTTATCAGCAGCAACTGCAGCTCTCTGCCTACGTCATGTTTGAGGATGTTCCTGCTCACTCCCATCCCCCAAGCTCTTCTGGAAAGCCAGTTGCTCAAGAGGAAGGCAGCAGGGACTCCCGCAGCCGCATTAGCTCATCCCACAGGAATGCTGCCCCTCCTCCGCCTCCAAGGGCTTCCTCCTCCTGGTCGGGCAAGGATGAAGCTGAAGGGACTCCTGAGGATTCATGGGGTGAAGGAAGCCAGGAGATACCACAGAAACCCAAGTGCTGCTACTAGGACCGAGGAGAGCCTTGTGTCTCCAGCAGTACCCACATTATACCCGGCTCAGCCCACCCATCTGCGGTCAACTTTCCTCTTGTACTTGCGCAGCTCCATGTGCTCCTCTGCTGCATCCCAAATGCATCCCCCTGATTCAGGACAGGCTATGGTGCTCCTCCTTCCAAAGGCTGACAGCTCTGCTGCTGTAGCTTCCATCCAGTCTCCAGCCCTCAGGAATAAGGATGGCAGCTGCCCAGCGCACCCAGCACCACTGCCCAAACACCGCAATGGGCTGGCATCTACCACTGCCCCTGCTAAAGTCACCCACGTGCTTCTGCAGCTGCTCAAGGAGCTGTTTCACATGCAGGAAGTTGGAGTCCCCCAAAATCCAGGTCAGAAGCTCCCCATAAATCTTGGTCACAGGAAACGGGCTAGAGCTGGCCCCCTGCAATGCACAGCCAAGACGGAGGCTGAAGAGGGGACCAGACCTCAGCAAAACAAAAAGGACGAAACTGAAGAGATAAAAGGAGCATGATGCATTTCCACACATGGGTGGCAACCATGGCCCAGGGCCTTGTGCTGTTCTGGGGGGCATAAACATGGGCCTCGTGCCCCATGGCTGGGGCCCATTGCCAGGCTGGCAGGAGGCACAGGCAGCTCTACCAGTGCTGGGCCATGGGGTGATGCTGCCTGACACAGCTGGGCTGGGGAAGCAAAGGAACAAATTACTTCACTTGAGCATGTTTATACCCTGGATCCTACCCTGGAACTGTTTATCTCAGAGCCAAGCCCTCTCATAATAAGTGTCAGAGTTGAGAACGCTCATAAAACTCTCAATGTGCTCTCCCATGGCCACTTGTCTGTCTGACTTGGGCATTATCACACACTTTGCTGCACAACCATGTTATTCCCTTCAGGGATCTCTGCCTCTCCCAGTGCTGAACAGACTGGCAGGGACTGAGGCAGAGGCTGTCTTGAATCCTCTTCCCCCAGTTGCTGCAGATGCTGGAAGAGACACAAGGGCTGCGAGAAGAGCCTGGATGGAAGGACTGAGCAGCCTGTGGAGCTGCACCCATCCTCCTCCAGCATGGTCGGCCTCCACCTGAGCATGACACTTCACAGATGACCAGAGACTTCTCCATTTTCTGAACTGCAGCTCTGGACTCAAACACCAGTTTGTGTCTCAGCTGCAAGGCCAGCCAGGGTGGGATAAAACTGAGCATGTGCTGGAAAACCTGACTCTCCAAGCAAACATTAGGCTGTGAAAAATCAGAAGAAACACGTCTCACGGAGGTGCCATGGAAGCGCACTGCTGCTTCACCAGCCCGTGCTTACAGCAGCCTCATAGACAAGCTTGTGAAAGGCCTTGAGCACAGTTCGATTAACAACAGCAAGCCAGGAAACACCGAATTACAGGGAACGGCGCGGGTGCTCCCTGCACTCACCTGGGAGGGAGGGAGGGAAGAAGGGATGGCAGGAAGGAGGATGCTCATTAGGGCACGTGGAGCTTTGGGAAGGTGGAAAACACAGCAAAGGAGGCTTGCACCTCCAGCCCTGCTGGCTCTGCTGTGACGTGGGTTTCGGTGCATTGCCCCAGGTGAGGTGCGTGGCCCCTCCAGCAGTCCCAGGCTCCATTTTAATTGCTCATAAACCTTTGCCAATTGTGTGCAGTTGGAGGGAGGTTCCTGTGCTCAGCACCCGCCACAGGCAGAGTTTGGTTTAATTTCAGCTCAAATGGTAGCGTTAGTCCTGATGTGCTTCCTGGGGAAAAACACGTCCCAGTATTAAACTGGGGGTGTTAGAAGAAACAATCAGGAACCTGACTAGCCTTAGTTTGACCCCAGATGAAACAGAATAACCATCTCAAGCTTCTCAACTAATTAAAGGCTAAAAATGTAATAGTCAGACCACACAGTTACATGCAAAGCTGATTGTATGGGATGGTCTTTGTTATTTTAAGCACAATTACAGGTCCAAGGGCTGTCTCTAACGAAGGCAGCTACCAGCTGGTCTTCAACAACAACAAAACTTTTACTGCTGAGTAACTATTAACAAGAAAAGATTGGGCTACCGGAGCTTGGGAACGTCACAGCAATACCAGATGATGATGACAAATTGCCAAACTATTCAGATTGCTCTGCAGCACCAAGTGATCCTAATGTAACTGCACTGGGGTGCAACCGGGGGCAAGGTGTGAATTCAGAGGTCCAGGATGACCCACAGGTGAAGGGTTGCTGGAAACGCACCTTGGAAGACCCCACAACCACCTCTGCTGGAGCTGCCGGCCACGGAGCAGGCAAGAAGTCTACTGCAATGAGAGGCAGAAGTAGGGAAGAGCAGAGGTGGTGAACGCTGTCCTCACCATGCTAGGGCCATACCTACAGCTGCCTCCCAGCGGCCAGTGCTAAGACAGCAAGTCTGAAGCACAGAGACAAAACCCACCCGGTGATCCAAGGGAAAACAAGCTCCCATATGCAGTCTAACAAATACATCTATAAATAAAGAGAAGACATGTTCAATATGTTTAAGTATTTATGCAAAGTACAGTCAGCTCTGGGTAACTCTGCTGACAAGGATGTAGCTCAATCCAATTACTGGCAGATGAAGTTTCAGAATTAGATAAATTCCACCAAGCCTACGAAAACAGCCACCCTTTGTACTGCTCAGACCACTTCAGTGGATCAGCACCTGGGGAAATCACCTGGGTGATTTCTTCCTGTCCACATCTGAACTTACACACCCCTGGGCACGCAGAGCTGGTGATGCCCTCAGCACAGCCTACACCTTCCTGAGGAGGTCAGAGACA